AAAAAAAAAAAAAAAAAAAAAAAAGTTAAACTTCAACTGTAACCCATTTGCTAGAATTCAGCAGTTGTTTCAGAAAGGAAATAATCATGATTATTTTGAAATACTGTATTGTTTGGTCAAAAGTGTTTATTATATTTGATATAATTTCATTAAACTTGAAAACAAAGGAAAATGCTACTTAGGAATGACCCTTCCAGGAATGGTGCTTTAGAAGTTACAGGTTTACACACTGATCTTAAAACTGATGTCAATTTTCCACAGGATACTCCATTACCTGGCACTTACCATTTGAACACTTTTATTGAAGACTCCCTATTAAATCCAGTGATAGCAACCTACAATTTTAAAAATGAAGGAAGGAGAAAGCCACCTCTTGTGCAAAGAAACAATCCAGTCGTGAATGATCTTCCTCAATACATGCCTCCTAACTTCCTGGATGTGTTAGAGAAGCAGGTGGCTACTTACTCATTCAAAGACAAACCACGACCAAGTCCCAGGACACTAGTTGATAAAGATCAGGTAAAGCACTACTGGCAGATTGGTTTTTGTGGGAAAACTACTAAGAGCCTCTGAGGAAAATATTGTTTATACGTAGAGTATGTCTTTCCCCAGGAGAAATGGAAAAATGGATGTCTCATTTCCTATAGAAATCAAACAAGGACTGTCGACATGCAAATATGTCCAATGAGACTTTCCCTGTTAGGTCTTTTTAACCTAAGGAGAGCACATGGGGAGAAATTTTTCCCACTTGGGCAACTTGGGGAGCATCTGGGATCTTATCTGCGACTGGGCTATGCTCTGGTCTCTTTAAGTAGTTTATGCAATTAACCCTCTTCCTTTAAACAGAAAACCTTGCCTCTTAATGAGTAACCTTATTAGAGCATGAATATAACCACATGCCACAGAGAAGCTTTTAAAATTTTTTCTTGTAGAAATGAGCACATGTTCCCAGGTGAGTCAGCATGTACTCCCGGCTGTACCAGTTCATTCATAGCATTGATGATACAGAGCCCTACTATGCTTATAGCCCTGTACAAGGCTCTATGGAGGGAAGATGTTCCTGACCCAGAAATATTTAAGTTAACAGTACAAGACAAAATAGCAAGTGCTGAGATAGTGTAGCAGAAAATGCCAAGGGAGAGAGTTCAATGTAGGCTAGATGAAAAGGCTGGAAAGCTCCATGGATTAAGGAGGACTTAACTGGACCTTAACTAATACATGTCTTTTATGTGGCTCTTAACGATTTACTATGGGCTTCCACGCATATACTCTTGGTTGCTTCTTTTTAAGCTTTCTGAAATAGAACGGATTTTATCTTCATTTTATATGCAGAACTGAAGTGAATAAAGACTAGGTAACTTGGTAAAAGGCACATTGCTAATAAAAAGTAGGTGAGGCAACAAACTGAGGGCTTCTGAGCCCAAATTCAGGCCTCTTTCTAGTCTACCATGTGCCCACACCTTGAATGAGTGGTGTTATTTAGATGGGTGGAATTGAAAGGAAGCACTATCAAGGGAAGAGCACAGCATTGTTGAAGGCAGGGAAATGGTAGGAACATGGCCTGTTCAAGGGATAGAGGTGTGACTTGGACTTCGTTACTTGGGACTTTGGGCACCTGTTTCAATTCTCTTGGCTTAATATCTCCCATTTATAAAGAAGTTGATAATAGCATCAATCTTCACAACTTCTTCAGTATATTACTGTGATAACCTGAGAAGAAATATATTACAACTTGAGGTTGAATTAAGTGTAAGGGGTTATGACTGCTAAGGTGTAC